AACGGTGCATGAGATTTTAGTGGCTTCTTTCTACCGTCGCCTTTATGGCTCTCCTCACCTCTGCAAGTCCAGTCCCCATGTGGACACACGATAGATGACATTTTTTTCAGCCACTGCGCCTAGTCTCAATTCCATTTGTCTTGACTCAGGCAAGTCAATAATTTATGGGGGGAAGAAATGTGTGCAAGATCGATCCGGTAAGGACCAACTCTCTGCTGCTTACTGTAATCAACGAAGGGCGTTTTGAAGCTCACGACACACTGATGTATGTTAATTCGAAGGCGTCAAACTGCCATGAAAAATTGGTCCTGCTCAAGGTTTAGGCCTTAATATGATCTTTATGTCATTCACTTACGTGGGGTCCCAGATCCCCGATCGTACCATAGCGTGTGAAGTTAAAGATCAAGCCTCGCAGATTGGCTATTTATTTTTGTCACCCACTGCGCCCGCTTCTTCTTTTAGTCATATTGACTGTGCCTTGTCACATAATTTACTGAGTGCTTCAAAGAAAAAAGATAGGTGTCAAAAATCGTTGTTTCGTCACCTCTTGGAGCACTGTCAAACCTTGTCGTTCGTGACTGTCGAATTACTTGGATCTGTTCACAGGTATTAGAGTATTACAACATTTCCCGCCTGTTCGTAGGAATGACGATTTCACTTATCTGCGTCGGGAGCCCTGCGTAAACATCGGTCAAACTAAGAATGCCGAATATCGTTAATTTTGAAACGCCTTTTTTTTTAAAGATGAACTCCTCATGCCTCTTTATTCATTTACTATTGCTCAGTTGGCTTTAACTGGAAGTTTTTAACGGTCTCTCGCGGATTGATTATCAGTTATATGTGCAGCTTCGGTGTTGCACCAGGTGGAATTGGTTGTCTGTATACGTTATTAATATCTACTGAATCAGCGGCAAGCTACGGGATAGATGCTCACTGTTCAAGAATCTCCATATTGTTCAAATAATTAAGATGTGTGACACGCTTGGGTGGTGTTATGAAAGCTAATCAAGGTTGCTTCTGAACCCTAGCCATCGTCGCTATGTGGTTTGCGTTCTACTCCAGCTGCTGTGGACACCATACTATTGGTCGTATGTTCTATTATCTAACTTCAGGGTTTTGTTATAGGCAAATACCTAACGACCACATGGCTCTCCTTGTTTCATTTTTCCCTGACGACTGCAACAACAGGATAGCCTTGGTTTCTGGCAGGCATCATTTGCCACATGCAGCCTGATAGTCTTAGGAGGTGCGGTCTACCCAATTAGGGTCATTGATACTACGTTGAGTATGGTAACCCTGAGAAAAAACAGAACGCCTGCATTCTATCCCGAGGCGAGGATAAGTCGGCGGATCTTATTTTCGTGCATTTAAACTCGCAGGTGACAGAACATGAACACGTGGCTCTGTGTTAGCATTTTGGCCCATTTTGCTCTTCGGATTTTCCTGGTCTAGGGCTGTGGCATGAGCGGTTGACTACGTCAGATAAGCCAAAAATGGCAATTATCGTCACCCTTACCTT